AAAAGAATTATGCGGTAACATACATAAAAAATAAAAATAAAATTATTCCAAGGAATTGATAAATAACCTTCTCCTTTTTGTGAGAAGTCGGTTCATAAAAGATAATTATGTTAGCTTCGAATACTGTATACTGTACCTGCGCAGTTCAGTTCGGCAGCGCTTGTAGGGTTGCAATATCGGCAGAAAAACATCGATATTTTCGATGTTGATATATTTTAGATTAAAAAACATCGATGTCGAAAACATCGACAAGAAACATCGATAAACATCGACAAGAAATGGGGCTCTTCGTGGANGCGCAGTTCAGTTCGGCAGCGCTTGTAGGGTTGCAATATCGGCAGAAAAAACATCGATATTTCCGATGTTGATATATCAGATTTAAAAACATCGATGTCGAAAACATCGACAAGAAATGGCATTTAGATTTAGCAAAAATTTAAAGAACAGTAATTTTGTTTACTTGTCGGGCAATATTTTTTTCGTAGGCATATACATTGGATTCTTCGCTAAAAACTTCTGTGGTAAAACTGTCCCTTCTTCGCTATTTCAAGTCAAAGAGTAATCTCCTTCTGACCTTTAATAAGGTAAGAATTGCGTAACTATCTGAGATTCAAATGCTTATAAAAAAAAACGGGGTGCGTTTTTAAAAAATAACAGTATTCTGCTCCGATTCGGCTGACAGCCACGACTTTGAAAACAGAATTCTTGTTCAAAATTTTCATTCATGGAAAATAATAAATTATTTTCCATATCCACCTATTTAGTTCGCTATAAGGACAAATTGTTCAAACCAGTCGAGGAAAAAAGTATTAAAAATAAACTACCAAAACTAAAATCAAAAAACACTGATGACGCTACAGGTCAGGAAAGTCAGGAGGATACATCCGACATTTCCAGCACCGATGCAATTCTCATTACTTTTTATTAAATATAATGCCCCAATTTTTAAATTCAAGTACTAAATAAAATAAACATAATTAAAAATTACTAGCTTTTCCATTTTTTATTTACCTAAATAACTTAGTTTAATTGTTTCTCAAAAATGTTTGACATCCGCATTCGCGACCGCAACCGCATTCGCATCTGCGGATGTCTAAAATTCCACATTCGTAACATCCCTAATACGAACTATTCAGCATTCGCATCAGATTATACCAGTTAATAATACATATAGAAGTGCAATGCTTTAAAATGAACTACAAACTTTTATACATTAGGGTGCTTCACTGTCCATACAAAAAAAAAATAAAAAATGGGTACTGTTTTTCCATCGGAAATGTAAAAAATATTATATTTTAAGACTTCCACCAAAATATTTCAGAATAACTAATATTTATAAATCGAGTTTTTATATATGTAATTAGTTTTAAAAAAGGTCTTATAATTTAAGCTTAAAATATCAGCATAAAAAAGTTTAAAAATTGTATCACCTGATCAAAATAATGAGATTTTTTTTAAGTATTTTCAAATCGTTCTAACTCACTTAAATCTTAATATTTTTCCGGATATATTTTCGCGGAAGTCATAAAATATAATACATTTTATAACTCCAGTGGAAAACCTGCAACTTTTTTTATTTATTATATTTTAAGACGTCCACCAAAATATTTCGGAAAAATATTAAGATTTAAGCGAGCTGGACCGATTTGAAAATACCTCCAAAAATGACGTTTTTTATGAATAAAAATAGTTTCTTAAAGAACGTTTTGAAAAAAGTCCCCTCAGATGACAAACTAGATTAAGCTTAAAAAATCTGCATTAAAATATTTAAAAATCTTTTCAACGGAATCGTAAGATTGAGATTTTTGATGCTGTTTTTTTACTTTTTTCAAAGATTGGTTTACGAAAAACTTGAATAACTGGGCCAAAAATGTTCTGATTTAGACTAATGGGATCTCAGTAGAAAGGTATTTTCACACTGTTTTTATTTCTGATAGAACACAAGATTGCGGCCATCAAGCTGAGAGCAACTGGCAGTGACGTCAAAATATACCAGAATGAGAGAGCAAGACGAACTCGACAAGAAAAAGAGGAAGCATCGAACAAAAGGCAGTATTGCCAAGTTTTGAATTTGAAAAAGCACACAATTTTTACATTATTTTATTGTAAGGATGCCGATTCAAATTAATAAAAATCAATGTTTCTTGCACAACGGTCGATTTCTTCTGGCATGATTGAAGGTGCTGCACATATTTCGTTGTCGCTTATGATTGCCACTGTGCCATGATTTTATTAAAATTTTTGTAAAACTGCTTAGCACACTTACGATTGCTATAAATTATGCTTCCATTTTTTTTAAGATTTTCTAATTTGATGTCTTCAAACTAAAAACAAAAGCACCAAAAACGCACCAAGCACAAAACTCAAAAATTTTAGCGTTTTGAATACCCACTAAATTTGGTGCGAAAAGCATCAAGTTGGCAACATTGAATGTAAACAAAAGTATATTATGACGTCTGCGATTGGGTGGATGCTGTCAAATCGACGAAGAGAGGGTTAGCGGTCCGCGAATGGCGCGACCTTTATTTTCTGGATCGTGATCTTAATTCAACTTTGAATGACGTTCGTTCATCCTACCTTTCTCTTCCATCCTTTGAATTAGTTTATTGGCAAAGAAATAAAAAAGGTGAGAAAATACCTTTTCAATGACACCTCTAAATCTTAATATTTTTCCGAAATATAGATTTTATAATTCCAATGGAAAAATAGTACCGATTTTTTTTTGTATGAGGAGTGATGCAGTCTAATGTACATATATACTAGTTATTTGCTGCATGCAATCATTTAACTATTATATAAATAATATTAATGCTGGTATCAACAGATGATCCCTATAAATCTTCGATTACAGCTCGCAAGGATGTCACGTGATTTACCATAATTTGTTACTTCGTTAAAATGCACTGCGCTTGATATACATACATATACTCCACGCCATTTGAATAGCGCACCCTTTTAATACTTAGTATTTACAGTTTTCTTTTTGTTTATTTAAGCTTCCTTATTCTAAGCATATTCTGCATGTAAACCCGCTATTATTATTATTATTATTAATATTTTTATTTTTTTGTTCGTAGGAGAAGGAAATGCTTTATTCACTGGCCGGCGCGCTAGTCTCCATACTACATTCCCCGAGCGTAGGACTCCCACCGAAGCGTGTTGGTCTACCCACTAAAACCCAAACTCCCACCGCCCGCGCAAGAATCCCGCATCTAGCACCGTAATTCTGCATGTCTTCAGATGCAGCATTATAGGTCGCTCCTGGTGGCAGGCTTCTTCGGTTTTATGTACCGCCTCAACTACTTCGCTAATTGCTCCTATAGTTGAGTGTCCCTTCCTGCAGCCATGTTGTCGTGGTGAAAGGCCTCCCCCGTTTTCTATGGCTGACGTCAAGTGTATTTTGAACAGACTCTCCATCATCTTTCCTACTGTGTCTAGCATGCTGAGTGGCCGGAACGATGAAGGAGAGTTTGGGTCCTCTTTGCTCTTGGGTATACGCACTAGCCTAGCCTTCTTCCATTGGCTTGGGAAGACCCGGGCCAGGACTCATTCTAGCTGCTAACCTGATTGCCTCCGCTGGTATGCCATCGGGGCCTGGAGGCTTGTGGGCTTTCATGCTTCGCAGGGCTAACTTCAGCTCGTCTGCCGAAAACAGTGGTGCCTCGGCTTGCTCCCCGACGAACACTGTATCTGCTCTTAGTGGGTGTGTGGGAAATAGTGCATCCACTATATTCTTAACTCGGACCTCATCCATCGTTTACGATGGTGTATGGAACTTTTTCATGACTAGTTTGTATCCCTAGCCGGAGGCATCACATTCCAATTCGTCGCATAACGCTTTCCTGCAGTTCCGTTTACTCATCTGTATCTCCGCCCCCAGTGCTTTCTTAGCGCTTTTGTAGGTTGCTGCTTTGGGCTCGAATCGTAACATCCGTTCACGGATCGAAAACGATACGAAAGAAAATTACGTGATACGTCAGGCAGTATGAGCTGAATGGGACAAAGAGTACGTTCACGTATGTCATAATCCGGAAAATGTGTTTTTACGTGACGAGTCTACGAGTTGAGGTCTACCGCGAGCTCGCGTTGCGCGTCTTCGCATACGATAGCATGCCTTTGTTATAGTGAAACTGAACGGGCTACTAAAAAAGCATGGGCTACGAAACTGTGTACTCGAAATTTGTCTAAAAATATTATTAACTTTTTCACTGCGGGTCATTACGCCGGCGCAAAGGAGTGCATTTTTTTTAATGTGTATAAAATTTTAAAATCGGATTGGCCGTAGAATATGCCAGACTTTCATAAAAAAATAAGTCATATTAAATAAACAAAAGGAAAACTGTAAATACTAGGGATTTAAAGGGCGCGCTATTCAAATGACGAGGAGTGTACATATACGTATGTACATAACTATTGTTGGGTTTAAACGGAAAATCCCGCTTTGTTACGTGTGCCTTCATACCTTTTCTGCTAAATTTTTACCATTTATAATGGGGAAATGTGCCATATATGTATGTATGGAGTATGTACAGATGTTTTCATGCATTTAATTGCTAGTACTGCAGTCGTATGTATGTAAGTAATGATAACTAAACAAATTTAGTTATATGCGCATGCGCGCAATGCACGATGTTTTAGCTCGTTACAGTCTTTGAGTCTGTGTAAAAAATTTTGCCACAGTTTTAAAGCACAATGACGAGTGCATTCCATGTGTGCTCTAAATGCATACATACATACACATATGTATGTATGTAGGCTTGTATATTCACCATATTGCATGCCATCAGCTACCGAGGTGAGCGTACGTGTCTTCATACTGGACATAGATTGGTATTATATAATTTTCAAACTGCACAAATTCACACGAACATATTTAACTGTAGAATTTATTTATTTTTTTCACAAATATTTCTTGCAAAATTTAATTTATTTATTTTCATCATTTTTACAGGTCATAAAAGTCACCACTTAAGCTATTTCACTAATCAACCGTTGCCAATATGAAGCTTTCCCACGCGACAGCGACAGCAGTTGCGGTAAGTTAACAAACGCATTCACATGTACACGTACATATGTATGTACACACATACCACACGCGAAACTTCGGAATCTACATACTTATTCTCCTATTAAAACCACTCTTTTGAGGCTCACTTTTGTTTATACTCTTTCTCATTTGCAGCTGATATGCGTTGCACACAGTTTTGTCCGCGCTGAGCCTCCACCGAGCAACGGCTATGTGCCTCCACCCTCGAATGGTTACAGTCCACCAGCTAGCTCTTATTTACCACCAGCTTCCGGACCAGCGACGCCACAAAATGGTTATGCACCAAGCGCTCCTGCAGATGGTCCATACGCGAGTCCGCAGGGTCCGCCAAGTACAGGTTACGGCGCGCCTCCAGCATCCAGCTATGGCGCTCCACCTAGTAAGCCAAGTTCCAGTTATGGACCTCCGAAGAAACCCCGACGTCCTGCTAAGGTGCCGGCTTCAACTTACTCGGTGCCACAAGCACCCGTAGCATTCTATGGTCCTCCAAAGCCCAGCTACGGTCCTCCTAATTCACCACCAGCTTCCAGCTATGGCGCTCCTCCATCACCACCAGCGTCTAGCTATGGCGCTCCTCCGTCACCACCGGCGTCTAGCTATGGCGCTCCTCCTTCATCTGACTATGGCGCTCCTCCTTCACCGCCTGCATCCAGCTACGGCGCCCCACCATCGCCACCTAAAGCCAGCTATGGCGCTCCTCCAGCACCTAGCTACGGCGCCCCACCATCACCACCGAAGGCAAGCTATGGCGCTCCCCCAGCTTCTAGTTACGGAGCACCACCATCACCACCCAAAGCGAGTTATGGTGCACCACCAGCACCAAGCTATGGCCCACCTCCATCTCCACCCAAAGCCAGCTATGGAGCACCTCCGTCGCCAAGTTATGGAGCGCCTCCATCACCCAGCTATGGAGCTCCTCCATCACCACCCAAGGGCAGCTATGGTGCTCCACCATCACCACCCAAAGCCAGCTATGGGGCGCCACCAGCACCGAACTATGGCCCGCCACCCAAATCCAGCTATGGTCCACCTCCATCACCACCCAAAGCCAGTTATGGTGCGCCACCAGCACCGAGCTATGGTCCGCCTCCATCCCCACCCAAAGCAAGCTATGGTGCGCCACCAGCACCAAGCTACGGTGCGCCTCCGTCACCACCCAAAGCCAGCTATGGTCCTCCTCCATCACCACCGAAAGCCAGCTATGGGGCGCCACCAGCACCGAGCTACGGTCCACCTCCATCACCACCCAAAGCAAGCTATGGTGCGCCACCAGCACCAAGCTACGGCGCGCCTCCGTCTCCACCCAAAGCCAGCTATGGTCCTCCTCCAAAAGCCAGCTATGGTGCGCCACCAGCACAAAGTTACGGCCCACCTCCATCAGCTCCGAAAGCCAGCTATGGTCCTCCTCCATCGCCACCAAAATCCAGCTATGGCGCTCCCCCTTCGCCCAGCTACGGCGCTCCACCATCACCACCATCTTCGAGCTATGGTGCTCCTCCATCGCCTAGCTATGGTGCGCCGCCATCACCTCCAGCTTCCAGCTACGGCGCCCCACCATCCCCGCCTAAAGCCAGCTACGGTGCACCACCAGCACCGCCGTCATCTAGTTATGGCGCTCCACCATCCACCAGCTATGGTGCACCAGCGCCACCATCCAACTCGTATTTACCGCCATCTACATCTAACTCAAAGCCGTTTGCTCCTTCAAAACCAGCACCCCCCTCAACATCGTATGGCGTTCCAACCGGATATAGTGCACCATCACCGCCTGCGTCTTCTTATGGTGCGCCGCCTTCTGCGCCTTCATCTTCATACGACGCTCCGGCCCCAGCATCTTCCTACGATGCGCCTGCGCCGCCTGCCACCAGTTACGGTGCTCCTAGCAATGGCGGCAACGGCGGCTATAATGGCAATGGCGGCAATGGAGGCAATGGTGGCTACAACGGCAATGGTAGTAATGGAGGCAACGGCGGCTATAACGGCAATGGCGGTAATGGAGGCAATGGCGGTAAAGGTGGCAACGGCGGCTATAACGGCAATGGCGGTAATGGTGACAATGGTGGTGGATATCCGGCTGCTGGACCACCATCATCCTACAGCGCTCCGATGTCTGTGCCAGAAACAATTCCTCAAGGCTACTCCTCCGATGGTGGATACAAGTACCGAAAATAGGCTAGTGCATGTTAGAGCAGCCCCGCGAGCAGAGGCAATTTCTAAGTCGTGTGAAATTTTTTGGAATTTCCGAAGAAATTGCAACGTACTATTTTCAATGCTGGAACATTTAGACATCTACGTAAGTATTTTTGGATATCCAGCAGCACTTTCCATCTTTGTCTTAGCTTCAAGTGCATTTCAATTTTAAATTTTTAAGTTTATATGAGTGCCTACAAAAGAACTCAGAGTTGCCATTTCTTCGCCTCTAATGAAGTTAAACATACTACATAATCATATTTGTCACAAAATGCTCATATAAACAAAATCGATTGTAAATTAGTTTCTATTTATGTATGTAAGTACGTAAGCGTTGTCAGATCTTCATATGTATGGCTTTCTTGTCGCAATTTCATGTTACTGTGTACCTAAAATATGTGTGTAATGTTTTATATCTCTTCCAATTATTTAAGTCCTTGATATTTTTAAAATATATTGTTAACGAAAATTTAATACTTTTAGTGTTTTTTTTTTCGTTCAATAGGTTCGAATGTACATTCTTTTGCAACCGAGCTACAAAAGAACACTCGCTAAAATGNCCAATTATTTAAGTCCTTGATATTTTTAAAATATATTGTTAACGAAAATTGAATACTTTTAGTGTTTTTTTTTTCGTTTGATAGGTTCGAAGGTACATTCTTTTGCAACCGAGCTACAAAAGAACACTCGCTAAAATAACGAAATACACTCAAAGTAACAACATATTTATCCGAGTTCAGCCAGGTCGGTTAAAAACTATGCGACCTGATGGGTAATGTTGTTGAGTGGAAAAAAGTGGTTAGGGAAATTTTTGTTTCGGTTTTTGTATCTAAATCCCATTAAACAAGTTACATGTTTCTTGCCAGATACCAACAGAATTGCTTAAATAGCTAAAACGAAGTTTTACCCGAGTTGAGTGTTCTTTTGTCGCTCGTTCACAAAAAAATGCAATTCATATTGCGAAATGTATTAAGGACAGCAGTTATTTTTTACATGGTATCCGGAATCCGGTTATCCGGCACATCCCTATTAAAAATTATTTGGACGAGTATCTTTTTTAAGGTAGTGAAATGCAAATAAAACATTTCCATAGTGGAATTGTATTAGGGGAATTCACGATTTTTAGAATTTTAGATGTAATTAGAAGTTTGATGAAGATAACGATAATTTTTAAGACGGTAAGTATTTAAATAAAAAATAAAATATAAAACGTACATATATTATGTGAACTTATATCAATTTACATAAATTTTGAAAATTTAATATTAAAACCGTGACCGTTAGTGACTCCAGGATTCTCTACAATCCATAATTAAGAATTAAATTTAAAAAACCGTCCCCCATATTGCATCCGCTATTTTGAATTTGGAAAATGTAATATTAATTTCGTAATAAGTGGTCTTTAAAACCCCTAAATACTAAGTTTCATTGAAATCTGTCAAATGCATATGAAGCGATTCGTCCCAGTGTGCGATGTGAGAAATATAAAACGGATTTGAAAACGAATGCGAGTCTATATTACCTTTTTTATAACGACACATAAAGCGCTTTGACCAAAACCTATGCATAAACCAAATTTCAATACGCTCCGAAATTGAAAAGTGTATTGACTCGAATTTGTTTTCAAATCGGTGTTTTATTTCTCACATCAGTTAGAAAACGGTTATGAGAGAATAATTCATTTAACAAGAGATCAAAATTGGCTGGTTTTCTTTATACAGCCTGTTTTTAATTGGAATTATTATTATAATAATTTTACGACGATTTTTTTGTAGTCCCACGAATGGTACAATACAGCGAACTTATATTAAAAAATTTGAACCAATTATTTTTCGTGATTGGGATAAAAAAAAATATTTGTGCATTCCCACGTTTGGGATACGATTTGCACCAAATTTGGGCAAATGCCCAATCGTGCGATCTTTAGGCCAGGAAATAACGAAACTATTTGTAGTTTGTGGCAATTTTCAAAATATTCATACACTTGTACATAATTGTATGTATATTTCGAAAAGAGGATTTCAATTTAAACTATCACTGAAGTCATAATTAACCCATAAACTACCACATGCCTAGGTTATGCAATACTTGAGAGGCAAAAAGCATAAGATGAATAAATTTGATTGTAACAACTGAAACTCATATGCAACTGTCGCATACAAATACATATATATACATATGCATAAATATAGAATATAGAATATATGGGACGTTCCATACTAAAACGGACGGGTTTCACACTTCATGTGTTTGATTTGTTTCACATTTTTAGGGTTGATGCATAAACATAATAATAAATAAATATAAAATTTGAGCTTGATTAATACATTTTTAAAAACTTTACAGCACAAAACAAAAAAAAAATCGATTTAATAGTTTTCCAAATAATTCGAGAACGGGGCGAGGAAAAAATTAAAAAAATCACACATACACACATGAAAGTTCTCTATGAAAACAAATTTTAAAAAAATTTTTTTCCAAAAACTATTTTTTTTTTTATAACAAAATGGTATGTGAAAAGTTTTTCAAGAAAAATTAAATTTTTCATATATTTTTTCATAGAGAATTGTGTAAATATATGTGATTTTTTCAAATTTTTTCCCCGCCCCGTTCTCGAGATATTTGGAAAACTATTAAATCGATTTACTTTTATTTTTGTGTTGTAAAATTCTTAAAAGTGTATTAATCAAGCTCAAAATTTCATATTTATTTATTATTATGTTTATGCATCAACCCTAAAGATTTGAAACAAATCAAACACATGCAGTGTGAACCCCGTCCGTTTTGGTATGGAACACCCCATATACATAAACAGATTTGTGCCTAAACACATGCAGGTTGACAACTTTGAAACAATGGTATAAATTCCAGTACCTTTGACATAAATTTCCCATCACCAAAATCAGATTGCAGGAAGATGCAGTAACAAAGTCAGCGCACTGCAAGAAAATAATATATAAATCCCACGGAGACCATGGGAATCAGTGTCAAATACAATTAACTATATACATACATACATACATGTTTGTTTCGAAGTGTGTCACCTAACTGGCATAGTTGAGCCGTAAATGAGCCTACAAGAAGCGCACAAACAAATTTGACTATTATTTAACTTTAAAATACGTACATACATAAGCACATACATACAAATGTATCACGAAATTCATAATTCATGCTCAGTATAATAATTATAGTTAACAAAAAAAATTGTAATTATGTAGATAAGTATATAACAAAAGCAAGCTCATAACACATACAACAATTTAAAGTTGCAACAAAATTTTTCGGTATATTTATTCCATTGCAACAAATCGCAAACTTTTCCATAACAAATTTTTAAAGCAGCCCACAAAACAATAGGTGCGTTCGTTTAAAATCTCCAACAGAAACCAACCAACTGCCAAATTCCGGCGAAATGTCATCTGTTCGCTCACAAGAGAGAAATATCCAAAATAGTACGCGAACAGAAAATTTGCAGAAACTTGCAAGTTAGACGAACAGCTGATATAACTTTTGTTTACATTCAAAAGTGTAAAATTTAAAACGTTCGAAAACTCATTACAAAGTGGTATCCTGCCACAGTTTATTGATTAAACAAATAACTACTTACTTCTTACAAGTTTAATTAGTCGCATTTTGTAATTTTTAACTTCCAAACCATCAAATTCAATTTTGTGATTTGCGTAAATGCCAACCAGCTGTTTTTGATCAGC